TAACGTGAGTGTAGGAGTGTCATGAGGCAGGCCTTCGGAGCCACCTGGTTACCGAGAGATGGGCAGAGGCGCTGCTTCGATTCCCACCCCTAAAGGGACTTTGGCCCCAACCCCACCCTTTGAAGCTGGCCCTCCACCCTGCAGATTGGTCCTTCTCGATTCCGGGCCCCTGAGCTGCTGTTCAGGCCAGACTTGATTGGCGAAGAGAGCGAGGGAATCCACGAGGTCCTGGTGTTTGCCATCCAGAAGTCTGACATGGACCTGCGGCGCACGCTGTTCTCCAACATTGTCCTCTCGGGGGGCTCCACCCTGTTCAAAGGTTGGTCTTTGCTCATAGGGCCTTTCCCCTGGAAGCTTCCAGAGCCTGCTGGGCCCAGAAAGCCAAAGAATTGACTTGAGATTCTACTTTTCTGCCCATTCAGGTTTTGGTGACAGACTACTGAGTGAGGTGAAGAAGCTGGCTCCAAAAGATGTGAAGATCAGGGTAGGAGCATGGCGGGCCCCGGCAGGGTAGCCCTGGGCCCCACGTGCTCTGGCCTTCCTCTGGTTCTGCCCGAGTTGTTGGGCAGCCAGCACTCTACAGGCAGTAGCAGGTGGCTCCCAGCCTACACCTGGACCCTCAGGCTTAGGCTGGCCAGAGGAGGGCTTACACAGTCCCCCTCTTCACTCAAAAGGAGGGTAATTTTAATACCCAGATGTTGTGGGGCCTGGCGCTGAGGGCCCCATCAGTCTTTTCGGGACAGTGTAAAGTGGACAGCGGTTCAGTTTTATTGCTGCTGCGCTCTGGCTCCCGTGTGGTGCAGTCTGGCATCTTGGTGCAGAAGGGACCCTGCAGGAAGGAGTGTGGTTCCTGTGTGGAGTCTCCGCCCCCTCATAGCCCCAGCTTCCCCAGGTGAAGGTCGGGCCAGCCACAGTTGCCTCCACAGAGGCCACGGGGTCCAGCAGGGAGAGAACTTGAAGCCTGTCGCATGGACTGCCTTGGGTGGTGAGGTGTGCCTCCGAGGGAAAGCGGGGGCAGGGTGGACGACTCACATCCACCTCTTCCCCCACCTTTGCAGATATCTGCACCTCAGGAGAGGCTGTACTCCACATGGATTGGGTGAGTAGCCCTTTTGGGAAGCAGTGGCATGCAGCAGGCAAAGGTGCAGGTTACCCGTCAGCATCCCATTCCTTTCAAGAAAAGCCTCAGCTGCTGTGGCCCCAGGGGGATGGCTGGCCCTCTATCTCACTGTTGCTTTGGATTCCCTCCACCGCAGGGGCTCCATCCTTGCCTCCCTGGACACCTTTAAGAAGATGTGGGTCTCTAAGAAGGAGTATGAGGAAGACGGTGCGCGGTCCATCCACAGGAAGACCTTCTAATATTGAGACAGCGTCTTCACCTCTCTGACGTTAACTCCACTTTAAAACTTGCTTTCTTGAGTCGGAGTGTTTGCGAGGAACTGCGTGTGTGTGTGTGTGTGTATGTGTGTGTGCGCGCATGGGTGGGTCGAGTGTGTGTGCAACACGAGTGCCGTGTGGCCCAGGGCTGCCCGGGCCCAGAAAGGACGATGAACTACCCACGATGGCGACGGTCTGAGGCCTGGGCTTTACCACTGAGGGGCCCCGACAGGGAAGAGCACTGGCAAAGGCCCCACCCTTCCTCAGCGGAGCCTTCGTCCTACTCCGTGGGACTACGGTTACCACCCCGGGGAGACCTTGCTGCTGCTGGCCTGGCTCCACCTCACTCCTGCCCCCAGGGTCCCTAAGGCCCTCCCCTTGTTCATCATTCTGCCATCAGTGCCCTCTGCTGGTGACTGAGGGCGGGGCTGGGCTTGAGTTCTGTCTGGTTCTGTTGCAGTTTGGTTTCAGAAGTCTGGAAAAGTACTCCTGGAGCAGTCACAGGGACGCGGGCGCCAGGGGAGAGCACGATGCCCTCACCTGGTCCCCCTGGGAACCGGGACCACATTGGGCATTCGAGGGCAGGAGCAGAGCTGCTTCTGATTGGTTGCAGAGTTAATGCTCCAAGCCACAGGCCCCATCCAGGGGGTCTTCAGAGGGTTTAAGGAGCCCGTTGGCTCCAGGTCCTGTTATTTGTTTTTCATCCATCCTTGTCTCAATGCCATCTTCAGTTTTATTTATTGAAGTGTTTGTTCAGTAAGGGGACTGGAGGGGGGTGCTCACTGCCTCCTGCCCACCAGTTACCCTGCTCACACTGATGTTTACAGCACCTAAGCCTAGCGTAGTACCTAGGGCCCCACCACTCCCTGGTGACGGCAAACCGGCAGTGTCCATAGGCCTCAGGACCAAGGCACTCCCATCAGCCTCTGTGTTTCTCCTTCTCCCACTTGCTCGCTGCCCTGGAATCAACAGGTTGGTTACTTGGAGGAGTTTCTGAAATCAGAGATAGAATCAGTCTTTGGCAGAAGCTCCTGGCAAAGGAGGGGGATTAGCGATCCCATCTGCTTAGGACTAGAGAAAGCTGCAATTAATCAAGTGGCCTTTTGCCACCCTGGCTGAGCAGGGGACAAGGTTATGGAGATGGGCAAGCCCCCTCTGGGCTGATCTGTGCCATTCTTGACTTTTGGACGTGTTCGGTTAGGGAGGGAGGGGCCGGACCAGAGTGCTGAGAGCTGATGGGCTCAGGCCTGGCTCCTAGCAGCGGTCTGCAGGTGATGCAATGCTGAGGTTAGCCTATCCTCGCCGGCACCCTCGCCTGTGACACCGAGAGTCCCCAGTTCGTTTCCAGGCAGTATTCTCCCCCACGCCGTCCTATGACCAAAGGCCCCTGCCAGATGTGGGCTGCAGCAGCAGGTGTGTGTGAAAGCGATGTGGCGACCGCAGACTGCAGTGCGCTTACCCAGCTCACCTCCCTTCCCTTAGCCCAAGCCCGTCCCTCGCACAGCCTCGCACAAACCACGTTGCCTGGTGGGGCCCAGTGTACTTCAATAAAGTCGTTCCAATAGACTCATCAACTGAGCCTCTGCGTGGCCAGTGCTGGCTGGGAAGAGGGAGGAGTGCAGTTGCTGCATCCGAGACAGTGACCCCACTTGGGCCCCTGCAGCAGGCATTGTGGCACAGGCATCACTGGCAGGCAGCAGCCTCGAGTGCCAGCCTGACAGGCGGATGCAGAGAAAATGGCATTTACACAGAAGTTCGGGTTCAGGACCTGAGGGTCCTACCCCTGCACGGACAGGGACCCCTGCCCATGCGTGACCTTGACACTGGATGAATGATGGGACATCCCTCAATCAGAATTCTTAAAACTTGTAAAATGCTTAGGAGCTGATTAGAATTATTAGACATTCTGGTTAATCATTTGAAACTCCATACTTGAGAGGAAAATTGCCCAGTGCCTGGCAACTATTAACCCATTTAATCTTCCCAGTAACCTCCACCAAATGTTCTCATTGCCAATTTTACAGATGAAGAGGTGGAGCCATGAAAAGACCAAGCAATATCTCAAAAGGCTCCCCTCTTTATTAGCTATGGTGTTAATCCAGGCAACACAGCCTTAGGAGCTACACTTTTTAAAGTGTGTTGCTATATTTTTATTTGAAAGGCAGAATAAGAGAGAGATTCCATCTACTAGTTCACTCTCCAAATGCCCCCAATAGCCAGGGGTAGGTCAGGCCATAGCTAAGTGCCAGGTACTCCATCTCAGTCTCACATGGATAGCAGGGACTCAAACACTTGAGCCATCCTCTGCTACTTCTCAAGATGCATATTAGTTGGCCAGCGCCACGGCTCATTAGGCTAATCCTCCACCTTGCAGCGCCGGCACACTGGGTTCTAGTCCCGGTCGGGGCGCCGGATTCTGTCCCAGTTGCCCCTCTTCCAGGTCAGCTTTCTGCTGTGGCTAGGGAAGGCAGTGGAGGATGGCCCAAGTGCTTGGGCCCTGCACCCCATGGGAGACCAGGAGAAGTACCTGGCTCCTGCCATCGGATCAGCGCGGTGCGCCGGCCGCGGCGGCCATTGGAGTGTGAACCAACGGCAAAGGAAGACCTTTCTCTCTGTCTCTCTCTCGCTGTCCACTCTGCCTGTCAAAGAAAAAAAAAAAAAAAAAGATGCATATTAGCAGGAAGCCAGGTCAGAGCAGCAGCAGGACTCAATCCCAGGTACTCGGAAATGGGATGCCAGCATCCTAAGTGGCACCAAAACCCACCGTGCCAAAAATAACTGCCCCTAGAACCTACATTTTTAACCACTATACAGACCCTAAAAAACCAAAGGCCTAAGGGTGGGCATTTTGCCTAGCAGGTCACACATCAGAGTGCCCAGGTTTGATTCCCAGCTCCGGCCTTCTGCCACTGCAGACCCTGGGAGACAGCAGTGCTGGCTGAGGTGCTGTCAGTGGGTACCTGCAACCCACATGTGAGACCTGGATTGTGATCCTGGCTCCCGGCTCCAACCCCAGCCACTGCAGGCAACTGGGAAGTGAGCCAGGAGATGAGAACTCTTATCCGGCTCACTCTGCATCTCAAAAAAAAAAAAAAAAAAAAAAAAAAAAAAAAAAAAAGCCGTCAGCCTAGAGCGATGATTTCCAAATAGGGCAATTTCACCCCCCAAAGACACAACTGGCAGTGTCTAGAGACATGCTTGGTTGTCACAACTGTGAAGGGGAGGCCACCACTATGCATGCACAACTGAATTCTCTGGCCCCAAATGTCTCAGGCAATGGTTTTCAATGCCAGCTGTGTGGTAAAATCACCTAGAGATTTTCAAAATCCCAATGAGCAGGTCATACCCCAGGCTCAGGAAGTCAGAGTTTCGGGGACTCGAACTCAAACACTGACACTTTTTGTGCCTGACAACCTCTCGCCTGCCTCCCATGACCAGCAGGGCTGCGTGGGGCACGCACCAGGGCCTGGAAGTCATTTTGCTTCCCAGTGCCCAAGCAGCTAGCAGTCTGCATCTTTCTCCCTGGCTCCCCCAGGCACTGAAGCAGGGGACCCTCCACCAACTCTTATTTAGAAAAATGCTCTCAGAGTGCTTTCCTGTTCAGGCCACCACACAGACACACCTTAGAAATGACTGGCTTTAATCGGCTGTCATGAGATGCGGCTCTTCAGAGACCTGCTGGGGGTGAGAGCCCTGTAGCAGAGAACATGCCACTTCCAGCACAGCTGAAGCAAAGAACCCTCGGAGAAATCACCAGAAGAATGGCAGGAGGGCGAGGGTGAGACGCACAGTCCGCTTTCCCTGACTAGGCAAATGGAGCAGCTGCAGAACCAAAAGTGGTTCCTGAGCCCACGAGGACAGCCAGCCCCACCCAGGCGGTGGGACAGGGCCCTAGGCCCCACAGTTACCCTGTGTGTGCCACCCAGCAGCCCCGTCCTCTGAGCCCTCATCTTTCTGCCCCCCAAGAGAAGCAGGCCCCTGAGCATATAGGGCCCAGCCCTTGCCCAGGCCAAGCAGGCTCTCAGCCCTCAGTGACGTTCCTGGCTCGGCCCCAGGTGCTCCCCCCGCCATCTGTCCTGTAGCTGACGGTGGAGGAGCAGGATGCGGCTGGCAAAAGTGGCACCTGCCCCAGGCTGTGGGCGCTGTTGTCCACAGGGCAGCCTTGCTGTACCTCTCACACCGTCTTAACATCCAGGCTTTGCGCCTGTGCCAGGTTCTGGCGCTGGGCCTTGACCATGTGCAGGCGTCTCCCGTGCAGCGTGAACTGAGACCAGGTGAAGAGCTGCAGCAGTGCACAGGTGATGGGCACCAGCACCAACAGGTAGAAGCAGCCCTGGCGGAGCGTTGGGGCCTGTGCCGGGGCTGGGGCTGGGGGCTCTGGCCAGGGGTGGGCACTCCCCACCGGGGTCATTGGGGGCTGCTGGAAGAGATCATGACCTAGGACAAGAGAACACAAAAAGCATGTGGCCAGCCCTGCTCCCCTCCAAGCCCCAGAGCCCTCCAAAGTCCATGGAGTAGCATTGTAGGGTCACATGTGCACGCCCAAAGCACAGCTCCTGATGCCTCCCAGCCAACAGCATCGCCAGCCCAAGGTCTCCCTCGATGCCCCAGTTAATTCCGTCACTCCCCAACACCCAACCCTTCATCTCCCCGAACTCCAGAACACACGGCACCACCCGGGACCCAGCCTCCCTGGGCTCTGCCACAGTCTCCCAATGCTCTCCCTGCTTTCCCACCCTCACCTCCCCACAATCGGTTCACACAGCAGCCAAAGTGAACTTTCCAAGATGTAAATCAGACACCATGCTTCCCTGCTTAGAACCCTCCCAGTAGCGTCTCTCTGCCCCACAACAAAATCCAAATCCAAACCCTGACCTGCTCCACAAAGCCCTGCTCGCTTCTCCAGCCTCTTCTCTAACTCCTCCCGATTCCCCAGTCTTTGCACATACTGCTCCTTCCGCTCCCTCTGCCTGTGATGAGCTGAGCTCTTTCCTAGATTCAGTTCATGTTCTGAGGGTCACCTTCTCAGACCAGCCTTCCGGGACCACGAAGTAGCTTCTCGGTCACATCGTCTCACATCTCCCCTTTTACCACAGCACCTAGAGCTGCCTGGCATTTTCTTTTTGACCATTTATTGCCCAACTCCTCCCCACCACCACCACCCCCCACCCCCGGCTACAGGCAAAGACCTTGTCCGCCTTAACCATTATTCTCCCTAGCACCCAGAGCACAGTCTGCAGAGGATTCTGTACCTATTTATTGAATGAATGAATGAATGAATGAATGAACAAAATAATTAAAGAGGAATGACTACTCATTTCTGGAGGGTCAAGGACATGCCAGCCCACACCCACAGCCCGGCTTGCCAGGCCCTCACCTGTATAGAAGCAGAGTAGCCAGGTGCCCAGGAGTGGAGCAAAAGTCTGGCCTGGTTTGGTCACCAGGGCGACCATGCCAAAGAGGAGCGCTGAGGCCGCCTGCTTGCGGTGGTTCAACACCAGGTCCTCGTCCACCAGGTCCGTGACCACCAGGGTCAGCAGCTTGCAGGTGCCCTCAGTGAAGACGCGGTTGCTGCCAGTAGGGAGAGCAGGCGGGATGAAGGGGCAGGGCGGGGTGCAGGAACCAGGCGGGGCAGGGGCATACCTGGCGATGAAGAAGCAGAGCAGGCCAGGGTGGTCTGGGCCCACTGCCAGCATGAGCAGGCTGAGGCCCAGCTTGAGGAGGAAGAGCCCCCGCACCACGGCGTAGACGCCCCAGCGACGGCACAGGGGCAGGAAGTAGAGGTTGTTGAGATGGGGAGCGACATAGGAGATGCCTGGGGAAGGACGAGGGGCCCCACGTGGTCAGGGGCACTGCACAGCTGCGACAGTGACCGACAGCCTGACAAGCAGAATCATGACGTACATTCATTCAGCACTAACAACAGCTTCATGCAAAGAGCTTCCTGTTCACAGCCCTTCTGGTAAGTACAGCCAGCCTCCTTCCCAGGGACCGCCGTGGATACCAAAACCCAGGGGGGCTCAGGTCCCGTCCACAGGGCGGCACTGTGCGTGTGAGGAACCAGCCGCATGCTCCCATATACTCTAAGCCACCTCCAGCTTACTTCCAGCCCCCGGTGCAGTGTGAATGCTATGTGAACAATTCTGACCCTGTATTGTTTAGGGCATGATGACAAGAAGGAGCCTGCACACGTTTAGTACAGAGACACCCACCGCAGGCCCAGCCACATTTCCGGTCTGCAGTTGGGTGGATCTGTGGATGTAGAACTCACAGATTCGGAGAGCGACTGTACAGCCATTATCCTTGCTTTACAGCTGAGCCAGGGAGCCCAGAGATTCAATAGCCCTTAGCACACCCACGCCACGCGGCAAAGGGGCAGAGTCCAGGCTCACACCAAGGCCTGTGGACTGCACCCCTGCTGCTGAGCTGCACTGCACAGTTTCGCCTCTAGGTGGCACCATCATCAAGAGGACCCGTGAGACAGCTGCCGGATACCCCACACCCGGTGACATTTTCCCATCCTTTCCTTGGGAAAACAGAGCTGGGGGCTGGAAGTGAGACCCCCGTGGCCGACTCGTGCCTGCCCTCCACCACCTGGGCCCCCGCCTGAGAAGTGGACATGCCTCCAGCTGACCGAGGGGCTCCAGGGTGCAGCCTCTGTCCCCCCAGCCTGTCCGAAACACCCACTCACCCAACAGGAAGGAGCCAGTGGAGAGGGAGATTTGGTCCGACAACAGATGCTCCAGGAAGAGGGGGAAGAAGTTGCTGTTGAAGTGGCAGTGGAAGACCTGCAACCCCACGGGGGCAGTGAGTAGGGCCCACGGCAGGGCCGGAAGCCAGCTGGGGAGCGCGGGCCGGTCCCTCACGGCAGCAGGAGGTAGAGCGGGTCGTGACCCCAAGGTCCGAAGCATGGAACAGGCCAGAACAAAAACTAAAACTGCCTTCCTGCTTCTTAACTAGCTTTAAAAAGTATTTTTTTTTTATTTTCCCTAATTTGAGAGACCAATCTACCATCCTTGATTCACTCCCCAAATGCCAGCCGAGGTCAGGGCTGGGCCAGAAACCAGGAACTCAACCCAGGTCTCCCACATGGGTGGGAGGGGCCCAGTTAGCTGAGTCATACATCACTCCTGCCTCCCAGGACCTGGAAGCCAGGATGAATAAGTCATTGTTCCAGTCCCAAGTTTTTTTCTTCTTAACTGAAAACACCTTAGGAAAACAAGTTTTCATAACACGAATACAACTTGTTTCCAAATCTGGCTCCTCTAAGTACATATGTTTTAGGTGTGGCACTTAGCTTGTAAGAAGACTGTCGCCAGGCCCCCAGAGGGGACACCTCTCTCACATCTCCACTTTACAGGTGAGGACAAGGCTGCCCAGGGGGCCGAGACCTGCCTGAGCACACACAGGGAGTGAGGAGGCCCTCTGGGGCTCGGATGCAGGCCTCCTAAGGACCCAGGCTGCTGTGTTCCTGCTGCCAGGCAATCAGGCCCAGAACTGAGTTGCCAGCTCCCGAGGAGTGAGGCCCAGCCAGCACGGGGGTAGGGGCCTGCTCCTCATACCTGCACCAGGTCCATGCCCACGAACCACAGGAAGTTTTGGTGGCGTGCCAGCTGCCGGAGGTACTGGCCCAAGGTGATGCTGCCCGCTTCCTCGGCGCCCACCAGCAGCTCCTCTTCACACTGGCTACAGGGCAGAAGGGAGGTGAGACCAGCCAGGCCACCCCGCCCAGTGCGGCCGCACATCAGCCAGGGCCCTGGGGAAAGTCAGCTCGGGGAAGTGCCTAGGGAGCCTGGGGAGCCAGGGTGGCACTCACCCGCCGTCCACAGCCAGGGCTGAGCACCCTGGCTCCCTTCTGGCCGCTTCGACCCGCCGCCTCAGCAGTCGTGTGGCCCCCAGAAAGCCCAGCGCAGAGCCGGCAGCCAGTGCCACACAGAAGGCGCGGAAGGAGGAGAAGTCCTCCTTGTTCCAGAAGGGGTAGGAGGCGAAGACAGAGAGGGAGCCAGCCGCGCTGAAGAGGGAGCAGTAGAAGTTGAGGTGGGTGCGGTCGTGGGCCGACAGGGCCAGGTCAGCCAGCAAGGCGTGATGGTGCAGGTCCACGAGCGTCAGGAAGCCGTCATAGAGGCACAGGCACAGCAAGAACTGCAGGCCGGCTGGGGCCCAGTGCACCCAGAATGCCAGGAAGGACAGCGCCAGCAACGGCCCGTGCCAGCCCAGCGCCCGAACCCGTGCCAGCACCACGGCCCTCGAGGAGAGCCCAGTGCCTGACCTGCCAGGGAGAGGAGGGCTGTTGGGAGATGCCCCCTCAGCTTTGGCCCCCCAGGGATCCTGCCCCGGCCTCAGATGGGAGGCAGAAGCCCAGAGTGTGGGGCTCCCACCAGGGTGGCCCTACTGCGCCCCGACCTAGGAAGCACAGCTCAACATAGGGTCCACTCTCCTCTGCCTGCCCCCCGCCAGCCTATCAGGGTCGGGGGCAGTGACGGCCCAAGCAGAAGGGGTGCCGGGGCCTGCCGGAAGCAGCAGAGGGCATTCGCAGTGCAGAGGCCTGAGCAGCCAGATAAGCCGAGCAGGGGCAACGTGTGCCCGCTGCGAGCCAGGCGAGGGTCAGTCAAGGCCAGCTCACCAGCCTGGACCCAGGAAGGACCTTCTCCCCACCCTAAACACAGGCAGGGGGTTTCCAGCAGTGGGGCGGAACTGGACAGTGAGGAGCTGTCCCCAAGACACAAACCCGGGCTGGGAGCTGAGGAACTTGCGGTCACTGAGCCAGCCGAAGAGGGGGTCGTTGAGGCTGTTCCAGAGCAGAAACACCGTCTGCGGCGGGGGAGATGGCGCGGGTGGGCTCCAGGCGGCCTCCTCCCCAGGGCTTCCCCCAACCCAGGCTGCTCACCACCCCTCAGAGCGGGCCCCTGCCTGCCTGCCAACCTCAGCTCAGGTCAGCTCCTTAGCTAAAAGCCACTCAATCAGCCGCTGCCCCCCTCAAATTTCTACCAGCCCAGGGCCCATTAGTACATGTAGCCAGCTGATACTTCAATCTACGCAAATATCTATTTGACCAAAGAATGTTTCTTTATAAAAACGAAAAAAATGGATTAAATGATTCATTAATTTTGGTGCAAAAAAAAAAAAAAATCCCATGCCTAGTTTTTCAATAATAAGTGTTTCCTGTGAGCTTTGTAAAGCCCCCTAGCATGAATATATAGAACAGTGAAGACAGCAGTCGCAAGAGCCGGTCTACTGCCCACCAGGGGTCTCCCTAGCTCTTCCTACTGAGTCATGGTGGACCATGCAGCTGGTCATGCCCCGACTGGGCGGCCCTAGTCCTGCCATCTGCCCAGCAGCCATGCCCCCTCGAGGTCCCCTCCGGGGATGGCCGCAGAGCACGGGCCTACCTCTCCGACCCAGAAGGCCACTTTGTTGATCTTGTACACGGAAACAAAGGTGTCCACGTAGTAGAGCAGGAACACATTGTGCAGGATGGAGGTGAAGAGGGCCAGGGAGCCGTAGACCACTGCCGTGGGGAGGCCCAACAACCAGGCCTGGGGCTGAGGCAGTCCCATGGCTGCCAGCCCCAGCCTCAGCCCCAAGAGCACTGAGCAGGGCTCGTGGCCACCTGCCGTCTTGCCATTCTGGTCCCTGAGGGAGAAGGAACAGTTAGTAGCAGGGATCACAGCCAACTCTGCTGGAAGCCAGCCCTCTAAGCGCTTCTACAATGCTTCCACTGAAAGTGCTGGTCCATAAAACAAGGCCTGGGAATCTCCAAGTTAGTGCACCGGGAACAATGCGGGACTTGATATGAGGCTGGGAGTAACTGACAACTGATAAGCCTGTGGGAGGAGAAGGCAGGCATCCAACAAGGCCTGTGCTTCCTGGTGAGGGCCGGATGCCCGGAATCTTCTGCCACCTGCACTGGACGACCTTAATGGTCTGGCCAGGACAACCTTGAGCTTGGATGCACACGGCACTTCAAGCGTAACCTGAGGCAAGGTACAGAACCCGTGCCCGAGTTTCTTTTTCTGGAAAAGAAAAGGGGGAATGATTAGGCCTACTCTGCGAGGAACTTAAGGAGTAAGCGAGGGAACGCACAGCAAGTGTTCGGTGGACGGGTGCTGCGGTGCCACCATCTCTGCAGGGCCCCTGCTATGTTGACAGCAGTGTCACCAGTGTGCAGGAGCACAACCCCAAGCTCTGAGATGTTCATCTGGCCAATGCCACACAGCAGAAGAGTAACACTCGGGACCCAGGCCCACCTGGCCACTTGACCTCCCAAATCCAGTTCCCAGCCACTGCTGGGGAGATGGGGAACCCCAGCCCAGTGGTGTCTGCTCTGCAGGAAGTGACAAGACGTGGATTCTGGAATTTGCAGCTCAAGGAACGGAACGTGCCCAGAGACGCTTGTGGCAGCCATCTTCATAAACAGCAGAAGGCTGGCAGGGCCCGAGAGCACCACAACAAAGGGGCTGGCTCAGCAAGCTCCCCGCGGCCCCAGAGGACTCACACGCAGGCCACATCAACAGCTGGGAAGCGAACTCCAGAACACAGCAGACCCCGCAGGACTGAGACACACTGACCTGTGGTGCAGAAGCAAATGACGGCCAGCGGCGCTTCTCAGACTGTGCCGGGCACACGAGCCGCCCGGGGACTGCAGAGGTCTGGGGACGCGGCGGGGCTTCTGCAGCTCCTACAGGTGCCCAGGTGACACTGAGGCTGCCGGTCGGCGACTGCCCTTTAAGCAAGAAGCACGGGGTCGTCTCTTTTCAGAAAATGAATGCCCCACGTGTGCTTGTCTGGCCCCCAGAGGGAAGCAATGGGGTGGGGGCTTCCTTCTTGCCAACTCCCTGTGCTCGTTGAACTGTGTCCCCCCAGATGATATGTCCAAGTCCTACCCACCCCACCCCCGACCCGTGAATGGGACCATATTTGGGGAGGGTCTGTGCATATATCAACAAATTGACCCAAGGTCACCCTGGATCAAGGTGGGCCGAAGGACGCTGTCCTTAGGAGGAGAGGGGGATGTGGACCCAGGAAGAATGAGCAGAAACCTGAGCACCGTGGCTCCCAGCGCCTCCCAGGCCAGCAGCCAGCACAGCCAGAGGCGGCACGGGGAAGGTCTCTTCCCTCAGCCTCCACCGGAGCCCCGCCCTGCTGGAACTCAGACTTGGGACTTCTACCCTCCAGATTGTGCTAGAGGAAACCTACTCCACCATTGGTGATCATCTGCTAGGGCGGCCTTGGGAAGCTGAGGGGCGGGGTCTTGGGGAGCCCAAGCCTGCCACGGCCTGTCCCAGGCCCATGTACACACTCCCACATGGGCTGTTTGTGCAACAGTAGCCACAGCGACTACCCAGGACCTGTCCTGTCCCCAGGACCCTCCATAGTGCCCAGTGCCTGGTACAGAGGCTGCCCCATCCCATCCCCCAGCCCAACAGGCCCAGCCTCCCTCTCTGGCCAGGTCTTTGTTCTTGCTGCTTCCTCCCAGGGAAAGCACCAGCCCCACGTGCACTCCCCCTGGCTTCAGGAGCCAACCCCACATCCACAGCTTGCTCTGGCTGCCAGCAGAGGTGCCTGCCTCCCACCCCAACCTGCCCTGGGGCTTCCAAGGGCAGAAGTTGGGTCTTCAGGGAGACAGGGCAGAGCCACTGCTCTAGCTCCCAGCAGAGCTGACAGCAGAGCCTAAGAAAGAACAGGCGTGGTCATGTGCACCCCCCGCCCCCCCGCGGCTGTGCTCACCAGGGCCGGGCCTGCCTGGCTGAGGGGAGAGGGACCAGAGAAGGGCTGACAGTGGCCTGGAAGCCTGCAGAGGCTCTCAGGGCCAGCCCCAGAGATCCGGCATGGCAGGAGGGTGGCCGCATGGCCTCTCCCTAGGGGCCCCTGGGCCCCTGAAGGAAATGCTCTCCTTTTTTCTGCTCAGAGCCTTCCTGAGGTGTAACTGACACACAATAAACTGCACACAGTCTGGTCAGTTTTAGCGGGAGGTGCACCTGCGACACCATCACGATGGAGATGAGCACATGCATTCCCCTTGGCTACCTGGGCGCAGCTTTTCTAAGTGACATGGGAAAAAGACACAACTGAGGTCTCCCAAGTCCTCCTCCTGTGTGACCTGGAGCCATCTGCCTGCCCTCTCTGTGCCTACATCATCAGGGCATCATTAGCCATGGATGAGAAAATACAGTGCTGAAGCTTTGGGGATGACAGCAACTGAGCCTCCCAGACCTTCACAAAACGGGGGGTGGGGTGGGAGGGCGGGGGATGAGGGTTCAACAAGATGCCTCTAAAAGGCTCTGGGGCTGTAGAGCACAAGGTCTATCTCTAGCACAATCCTTATCCAGGCCACAGTGTCTGCCTCCCCCAGGGCCTCGCAGAACCCCTGAACTCCAGAGCTTTTGTCGAAAGGGAGCGAAGCCCCCGTAAGATGCCCGACCCTGTCCTTGGTGCTGGAGAAGGCCAGCCCTGCCGCACATCCCCAGCACATCCACCTCAAAGGGTGGGGAAGGCCAAGGGTATGACTTTTGCCATCAGAAAGGCCAGGTTCAAATCCCGGCTGTGCTTCTACTAAGAGTGTCACCTCAGGCAAGTCCCTAACGCTCCTAAGCCTTGGTTTCCACATCTACAAAATGGGGTAATAATGCCTGTCTTTACAGGGGTGCAGAAAGGATTAGGGTCCAGAAGCCCAGAGTGTAGTGCCTGTCACATGAAACCAACTCAGAAATTGGCTTTTTGTTGGGCTCACTGTAGCCCAAGGGGAAGGGTGGGAACAAAGAATAACCTGGTAACCGGGCCCCTTCCCCAGGGGAAGGGAATTTGAGAAAACAACAGGGCCCAGGAGGGAGTCAGAAGAGGCGTCCTGCAAGGAGCAGGGTCAAGGAAGACGGCTGGGAACTCCAGAGGCAAACACCCACCACAGACCCACGCTGCAGGCTACGGCACCTGCCAGGTGACCCGCGGGGCTGGCGAGTGAGCGGGAGAAGCACCGAGCCAGGAGCGGGAGCTGGAAGAAGCACGAAGGCTGACTTCCGCGCAGCTCCGCTCCTCCACCAGGAAACAGCCTCCCGCACTCCCACTTGCCCTCCCCCTCCCCGTCCCTCAATCCACCCCAGCTGAGAACAATGGGGGGGATCATCAGCCTGGTTGCATAAGCTGGGTGAGGCTGCCTGTAACCTGCAGCAGCGCCACCCCGCCCCCTTGGCACCTTGCACAAGAGCCTGCTGGAGGCCCCCCACAGCCCATCCCCTTTGGTCTAGTCCTGTTGATGGCCTTGAGCCAGCTACTCCCGCTCTCTGAGCCTCAGTCTCTTGCCTACAAAGTGGGGACGTCAGTGCCAACCTCTCAGAGGGCTGGGACGGCGGCAGCGGGGCGGGAGGAGCACCGTGCCTGGCAGAGCAGACCCTCAGTGAACAGCAGCTATTTTTCTCACGTCTCTGTAATGTGGTCTGATGATCTTTTCAGATCAGTTACTGACCACACTGCCAAACCCACAACCGACGTGGGCTCTGTCGCACCCAACATGAAGACCTTTTGCTGCCTGGAAGATCCCAGTCTCTCTCATCTGCCTTCCCTCAGATTTTTTCTTAAATGCCACCTCCACGCTGTTCCTTCCACCTGAGATGGCCAAGACGCAGCTACTTTCCACTTGCCAGGCAAGGGGCGGGGGGGTGCCTGGCTTTTCTATGCCTCATCGTGCAGCCTCGCCGCTCAGTCCCGCCTCCGTCTGCACGTCACAGAGGAAGAAGCCATGGCTCCAAAGGCTAAAACACCTGACCCAAAGCCACAGGGCTCTCAGGTGCTAGAGCCAAGATTCAAAACAGGCATTTCTCACTTCACCACGCTTGTCCACGGCCCAGTTCAGTGTCACACGGACTCCCAACCAGGCGTTCTCTCCTCTTCCTGTCCCTAGGCCTCTGCATCAGGATCCAAGCGCCTTCCTTACCCTCCTCCCCGATTCCGCACCTGCCTCCACCAGGTGCCTTCACCACACAGGTAGCAGATCACCACTCCCAGGAACCCCTCTGCCCTAGCTGGGCTCTGCTCGACTGTGGGCGTGAAAGGGGGAGACAACCGGGGAAGCCCGGTGCGCTCCTTGAGGAAACCGTGTGAAGACAGCAAGGCAACAGGTGCACAAGGAGGAGTACTGAGCACAACATGGAGCAACATTTGTCAAGCCTCCACCCCAGGCACAGCTCTGGGCTAAGAGAAGCAGAAGCGACTTGGGAAGAGGGCTCAGAGCAGGGAGGTAGAACGGGGCCAGACACAGAGGCCTTGTAAACCTGCACGAGATTCTACCCCGAGGACACGGGGCAGAATGGGGTCTGCTTAGAAGGCACCCTCCGGCGCTGGGCCACACTCTTCCCCCTGCACCCCATCGGGCTCCTGGGGGAAAAGGAGCTAGAAAGGCATGGAGACCACGGCAGCCCCCAGGTTTCTGAGCCAACCCACGGCTCTAAGAACAGCAGACAGGCTGGGCGCCTGGGGCGAGAGGCATCAGGAGGCCAAGTGCTTGCTTCCGAAGCCCTGGAGCTGCACTGAAGAGGGCAGGGCAGAGGGAAAGCTCGGCGGAGCAGAATTCTGAGTCAGGAACCCCGGCTCTGGGCTGGGCGGTATCATTAACCAGCTGTCAGCTTATGCCGGCACCTGTGAAACAAAACAGTCCGTCCCTGCCTGGCCTCGGGGTATCAGATGGGCAACTGAAATGGAAAGGCATAGTACCCAAGCAAACGTCACGCATGCCCTCCTCTCAACGCGCAAGGGACCTGAGTTGCCTGTGGCACTTCCTGTTTCACAGTGCAGCCTCTGCCTAGCCTCCCCATTGCAGGGTCTGGCCTTGGGAGCCTGTCTATCAATTATCCCAAATACTTCAGGGCACATCCTCCGGCTGCTGCTCCTTCACTTCACCCTGCTGGGGAAGGGCCCTCGCTCGCCCCCACCCGGGGGGTCAGTACAGCCAGCGGCTTCCCTCCACGCCCCTCCCAAGCCCCTCAGGAGTTGGAGAGCAAGCCCGGAGCTCCCCGCTCCACAGCTGCACTGGAACACGTGTTGTGGTTCACGAAAATCACCTGAGGAGCTGGTCAACCAAACCGAGGCCCTGCCTTCACCCCAGACCTCTCAAACCGTAATATCTCAGTGGGACCCAGACCCATGCTGGTTTTTTTTTTAAAGCTCCCCAAATGGTTCTCCTGCACCACCTGGGTCAAGAGCCATTATATTAATGACTGGATCCCGGCCTGCCCCATTGCGTCCCGCGACCCCACTCCCTCAGGGAGCTACCTGGCCCATTGCGTCCCCTTCCCCCCGGAAGAGCCCTTCTGCAGGGATTCCACCCTGACCCCTGGCCCCAGAACTCTCCTAACCCACAATCTGATCACCTCAAGGACCGCCCCAGACAACCCCAAAAACCCCGAAGCGGAAAGCATTCCCGTCCCACTTGGGTTTGTCGTTCGTGTCAGATCGGCCCCCAGTCCGGCCGCGGGCCAGCTTCTCACCGTAATCGTGGCAGACGAAGCCTAATTCCAGGGCTGCCAGGAGCCAGCTGCGAGCCAGCGCGCCTGCGCGCCCGGCGCCCAAGGCTCCCTAGCCTCCCCTAGCCTCCCCCTCCGCCCCCGCCCCACGATTGGCTCCGCGCATCTCGGGCAGGTGACCGCGCCTGAGGCTGTCGCCGCCATGTTTGTCTTGGGCGCTTGCCCTTAGGCACCAAAAAGAGAAAAGTGGCCACTAGCAAATGGGAAGCAGGTTGCCCGGATGGCTGCCGACCTCCCCTGCTCTGTCTCCTCCACGAAGGCTTGACGTCATTGCACTTCAAATCCAGGTTTTCCTGGGCACCCCCTTCCTTCCTGCATGTCTTTGCTCAGTAATTAGAATGAAGACTACCTAGTACCTTCCCTCAAGCCAGTGTTCTGACTGGATGCACAGTTGAGGCAGACATAGAGGGGGCAGTGGCACGGCCTGGGACTCCCAGATGCCCTTCAAGGATTAGTTGTGGGCACCAGGCCCTGAACTCGCAACCACGCAGCACAACCTCCCCCTACTAATAACTCCGTGACGCTGTGATGTAGTAGGTTCAGCATCTGCCTGTGGCGCTGGCCTCCCACATGGTCTCGGTTAGTGTCCCGGCTGCTGCACTTTCGGTCCAGCTCCCTCCTGGAAGAATTGCCGCCATTTAGGGAGTGGACCAGCGGATCGAAGACCTTCCTCCCTGTCTCTCCCTGTGTCTGTAACTCTGCCTCTCAGCAAGCATCCCATAGTTCTGGCTACTCCATCCCCACCCAGCTCCCTACTGGTGTGCACCTGGGAGGCAGCAGGTGATGGCTGGAGTAGGTGGATCCCTGTCACCCATGTGGGAGGCAGGGTTTGGGTTCCCAGTTCCTGGACTCAGCCTGACCCAACCCCAGACATTACGGGCATTTGGGGAGTGAACCAGTGATTAGACGATCTCGCTATCCCCTCCCCCTACCTGAGACTGGGGAATGGAATAGTCAGTGCCCCCTGACCCCGACTATTTTACTAAGAACAAGTGTGTAACTCTAAAAATCAGGAGTGTGCTACTGGAATCAGGATGGACTAATGCTGAAAAACACCAGCTTGGTCCTTAATTTTCTCGTTTTCTCTGAAAACTTCCCCCCTAGACCAGCCAATGCCTTCAGCAAGCACACAGGGACCAAAATAAAAATGCAGACTTCCTGGGCTGACTGAGCAGGGTCCGCAGCTGCCCCACTCCACACCCAGGTGTGATCTGATACCCCTGGGCAAGTGGAAACAGGTGGCAAACGTGGCCAAGCCCACAGGCTCATTACTGAACTCCAGGCTGGAGTGAGCTTGGCCCATGATTAGCCTTGGACACCTTTCAGGTGCTGGGACTTTAGGGGACAAGTTATAAATAGGAGCGGGCAGGTGTATTGGTTTCCTACTTGCTGCTATTACAGATTACCACACTTAGTGGCTTAAAACCGTGCAAATTCATTATCACACAGTTCAGAGGTCTGAAGTCTGAAATGCGTCTTGATGATAAAATCCGGGGGTTGGCAGGGCTGCGGCCCGCCTGGAGGCTCCAGGGGGAATCTACTTCTTGCCTGTTTGCTCATGAAGCCCTCCATCTTCAAAGCCTGAACAGTTGGTCAACGTCTCTGTCCTATCTCATCCCCCTTCCACACTCAAGCCCCACTGGCCACTAGATAGCCAGAAAATCTTTTTAAGTTCAGCTCATCAGCAGCCTGATTACCACCTTAATTTTCCCTTACCACATAACAGTCACAAGCTTCCAGTAATGACATTATGACTTTTATTAAGATTTTATTCATTTGCAGGGCCGGCACTGTGGTGTAGTGGGTAAAGCCACTGCCTGCAGTGCTGGCATCCCATATGGGTACTGGTTCGAGTCCTGGCTGCTCCACTTCAGATCCAGCTCTCTGCTATGGCCTGGGAATGCTGTAGAAGATGGCCCAACTCCTTGGGCCCCTGCAGCCACGTGAAAAGACATGGAGGAAGCTCCTGGCTCTTGGCTTCCAATCAGCGCAGCTCCAGTGGCCAATTGGGGAGTGAACCAGTGGATAGAAGACCTCTCTGTCTCTCTCTCTCTCCTTCTCTCTCTGTGTAACTCTGACTTTCAAATAAACAAATAGATCTTTTTTAAAAAATTATTTGAAAGGCAGAGTGGGAGAGACAGACACGTCTTCCATTTGCTGGTTCACACCCCAAAATGGCCACAATGGCTAGGGCTGGGCCAGATGGAAGCCAAGAGCCAGGAGCTTCTTCTGAGTCTCCCAATGTGGGTGCACTTGGGTCATCTGCTGCTGCTTTCCCAGGCCATTAGTGGGGATCTGGATGTGAAGTGGAGCAGCCAGGACTCAAACCGGCACCCATATGGGATGCTGGCATGGCAGGCGGTTACCTGTTACACTAGAGTGCCAGCCCAAAAATCATGGCCATCTCTGACGGGGGCAAGAGGTGTGGGAGCGTGGTTCTGCCTCCCCTAACAGAGCCCATTGTGTCGCAGGACCAGTCCTTAGAATGCAGAGGGTAAGGCTCCCTCTTAGAGCTGTGGAGTAGGGAGTGTCAAGTGGATTCCAAACTGAAGCCCTAGCCAAGTCCTTTTCTCCATCAGGCACCAGCCTCAGCAGCTGCCCTCACTAGGCCACTGGCCCAAACCAGACGACGCGGCAAAGGCCCAGTCAGCAGTAACATGACATCACCAGGCGCGTGCAGGAGGCCTGCACAGAGGGTAGCTGGGTTTTGAGGGATATATATATATATATACACACACACACATACATTTAAAGATTTATTTTAAAGGCAGAGTTACAGACAGAGGGAAGGGGAGACCTGGAGCGATCTTCCATCTGCTGGTTCACTCCTCCCAATGCCTTTACCGTAGCCAGCAGTGGGAGCCTGGGCAAGTCAACCTACATAAGCCCCAGTCATTGCGACAACTACTGTTGCAGAGAGCTCCTTGCAGGGTAAAGCACCTCCTTCCTAGAGCTCACAGAAACTCAAGCGAGAGGCTCACAAGCAGCCTGATTCCCTCAAATGTTACCGCGACCCAACCCATCTGCAGGGGCTAGAGGTCTTGGGTGGAGGCAGGGAAAAAGCAGAGGGGACGGCATCCGTGAGCTCAGGCTCCCGCCTCCAGGCTGACCCAGGTGTCCACACAGGCTGGCTGGCTCCTGGCCAGGCTGAGCTGTTTGCCTCTGCCTGGTAACAGGGAGGCGTGGCTGAGGCAGGGCATGGAGGGGAGTCAAGCAACTAAAAGGTGGTGAAGCGTCCTCATCGGGACCTCCCCCCCACATGCTGGACACCAGCTCCTCCAGGCTAAAGGAGACAAGTGAGTGGGGGCTGAGGGCTTGAAAAGGCCTAGGGTCCTCCTTTCCAGCTGGAAGCCTGAGGTACCGGCTTCGAGGTGGGGAACAACTGAACGCCTAACTTAGGTCAAGTTCAGCAGAGCCATGAACCACAGCCTCGGGATACCAGCTCTAGGGACGGGTGGTGCTAAGCAAAAAGTACCCACACACCCCTCTGCCACAGGTCTGGCGCAGGCTGCCGCCCCTGTGAAAACGCCCGTCGCGTGAGGTTCAGGCCATGTACTCCTACTGGGGCAGCCCGCTGTCTGGGGAGGGCGTCTGGCCACCGCTGCAGCCGAGCACCTACACCTACCTGCCCGCCCCGCCGCTGCTGCCCCCCATCCAGGCGCACAACTTCTGCAGCCGGCCCCGGAGCCTGGGCGCGGGCGAGTGGGCGGCCCCGCGGGAATACCACTTCTTCTACGGCACCACCGCGCCGCCCTGGTGGGTTGTCCCTGCCGCCTACTCCACGGCCCTGCCCCCGCCGCTGCCACCCGCAGCCGGCGTCCTGGGGCCGTCACTGCAGGCGCCCGCCGCGGCCGGGCCAGCGGCGGCGGCTGAGCCCTGGGAGCCGTGGCCCGAGGGGGGTAGCCTCCAGGCCGAGCTGCGCTGGGGACGCGTGGAGCGCGTGCTGGGCCCGCGCCTCCAGCTGCCCCACTTCGTGCGCCGGGAGCTGCGGCGCGTGTACGGCACGTACCCACGCACCGACGTGCGCGTCACCTACCGCCGCGGCGAGTTCCTGCTGCAGGCGGCCCCGCGCGTCCCGGAGCCCGAGTACCACGTGGGGAGGCGTGTGGTGCGACGGCCGGCCAGCGGTGACAGCGGCGACAGCGGCCTGGCCGGGGAAGCCCAGGAGCTCGGCCGCTCCAAGAGGAAGAAAGGCCTGAGCTGAGCGCGGCCCCGGAGCCGGCGAGCGCGAGGGAGGCCTCACCTGTGCGCAGGAGCCGAGCCGGCTGCATCCCCTCCTCACGTGCCTTTTCTTTTTTTCCCTTTTCCCTTTTCCCCCTGCCTGCTCGCCAGCGCCAGCCTGCACTCCGTTGATCTATCGCGCGCTTCCTCCCGGATGGTGGAGGATGCTTTGTTCCTTTTTCCCTCTAGATGGGTTTAGGAAGCGAGGGAATGAAGTGACAGGAGGGCCTGGGCCCTTTATGCCCCACGTCCTCCTTCTTCCCCCAAGAAGCCTGCCCCACCGTGTGGTCCAACTTTCCTTGCCTTCTACCAAGCTAGTGGAGCAACTGTATATCCAGTTTGTTAATAAAAGTAAAGAAGTGGGGCTGGCGCTGTGGCGCAGCGGGTTAACGCCCTGGCCTGAAGCGGCAGCATCCCATTTGGCCGCCGGTTCGAGACCCGGCTGCTCCTCTTCCGATCCAGCTCTCTGACATGGCTTGGGAAAGCAGTGGAAGATGGCTCAAGTCCTTGGGCCCCTGCACCCAAGTGGGAGACCTGGAAGAAGCACCTGGCTCCTGACTTTAGATGGGCGCAGCTCTGGCCGTTGCGGCCAATTGGGGAGTGAACCAGCGGATGGAAGACCTCTCTGCCTCTCCTCTCTCTGTGTAAACTCTGACTTTCGAGTAAATAAATAAATATAAAAAAAAAAAAAAGTAAAGAACTGAATGAAGTAAAATGTTGGCTAGAAGATGAGCTTTCTGTTTAACAGTGGGTGCCTGGCTCCCTATCTGGGTAACAGGACCCTTATCTCCCTCCCTCACACGAAAGTGGGGACTGGGGAACCCGCATGCCCGCTGCCGGCTGAGTGGGGCTCCCGTCCAGGGCGCAGGCCCATGTCCTTTTTTAATCTTCCCTGGTCCTGTGGCCCAGAGTCTCAGGGCTCAGGCTCCACTGCTGACGTGAGGCAGGCATGGCTGACATTTTCTGCCCATGTAACCGTAGGCTTTCTAAGCCTCAGTTAATCATCTGTAAAAGAGGCATAGGGGAAGGTGCCGTGGGTTAAGCCACAGCCTGTGATGCTGGTATCCAAGTCAGCATCCTGGCTGCCCCACTCTATCCAGCTCCTGCTAATGTGCCTGGGAGAGCAGCGGAAAATGACCCAATACTTGCACCCCTGCACCCTTGTGGGAGACCTGGCTTCTGCCTGGCCCAGTCCCAGCTGTTGCAGCCATTTGGGGAATGAACCAGCGGATAAAGATCTTGTTCTCTCTGTAACTCTGCCTTTCAAATAAATACATAAATCTTAAAAAAAAAAATCATAAAATCGGGAGTGGAGATTGTGGAACAGCAGGTTGATGCCTGGGACTCACATATCCGAGTACCTGTGAGTTTCTTGGTCCTCTGCTTCCCAACCAGCTTCTTGCTAATGCATCGAGCCGATGATGGCTCTAGTTATTGGGCCCCGCCAGCCACTCGGGAGACTCAGATGAAGGCTCCTGGCTTTTGCCTGGACCAGCCTTGGCTGTTGCAGGCATTTGAGGAGTAAACCCAAGGATGAAGATCTCTCTCTCTCTCTCTCTCTCTCTCTCTGACTCTGTCTTTCAAGTAGGTGAATATATATATAAGCATCAAAGTAAATAAACTAGCTTACTTGGAAGTTAAAATAAATGGCATTTCTTGTCTCCTGACTCTTGCTAATAGTTTTTGATTCTTTTTTTTTAATTTTTTAAAATTATTTGACAGGTAGAGTTATAGACAGTGAGAGAGAGAGAGACAGAGAGAAAGGTCTTCCTTCTGTTAGTTCACTCCCCAAATGGCCACTATGGCCAGTGCTGTGCTGATCCGAAGCCAGGTGCCAGGTGCTTCTTCCTGGTCTCCCATGCGGATGCAGGAGTCCAAGGACTTGGGCCATCCTCCACTGCCCTCCCAGGCCACAGCAGAGAGCTGGACTGGAAGAGGAGCAACCAGGACTAGAACCCAGCGCCCATATGGGATGCTGGCGCAGCAGGCGGAGGATTAACCAAGGGAGCCACGGCACCAGCCCCCAGTTTTTGATTCTTAATAGGCTGAGGTTTTCAGTATTGTAAAAGTTTACTGGAGGGTTAAGCCACATACCCGTTTTTAAAAAGATTTATCTATTTACTTAAAAGGTAGAGTGACAGAGAGAGGGAGATCTTCCATCCACTGGTTTATTCCCTCAAATGGCTGCAACAGCCCCCACTGGGCCAGGCTGAAGCCAGGAGCCAGGAACTCCATCCAGGTCTCCCATACGGGTGGCAGGGGCTCAAGGACTTGGGCCATTGCCATCTTCTGCTGCCTTCCCAGGCACATTAGCAAGCAGCTGGACTGGAAGCAGATGATAAGAAGTTTAGCTCATTGAGCCACAATGCTGGCCCCTACAAACCTGATTTTAACTATGAGCTGGGCCCCTGCACCCGCATGGGAGATCCAGAAGAAGCTCCTGGCTCCTGGCTTTGGATCAGCCTAGTTTAGCCATTGCGGCCATTTGGGGAGTAAACCAGCAAATGGAAGAGCTCTCTCCCTCTTTCTCTCTCTCTCTCTCTCTCTCTCTCTCTCTCTCTCAACTCTGCCTTTCAAATAAAATAAATAAATATTTGTTTAAAAAAAAGTCCATCTGGAGCAGCATTGTGGCACAATGGGTCGAACTGCTTGTGACACAGGCATCCCATATTGGAGCAGTGGGTCCAGTCCTGACTGCTCTGCTTCCAGTCTAGCTCCTGCTAAGGCACTTGGGGAAGCAGCGGAAGTGGCCTAAGTGTTTGGAGCCCTGGCACACACGTGGGAGACCCAGATGGAGCTCTGGGCTTCTGGCTCCTGGTTTTCACCTGACCCAGCCCCCCACTAGGAAGCCATTTGGGGAGTGAAACAGAGATGGAGGCCCTCTCTCTCTGTCTCTGTCTCTGTCTCTGTCTCTCTCTCTGTCATTCTGCCTTTCACATACATTAATAGATCTTAAAAGACTATCCAACAAATTTCTTGAGTGCCCATTGTTTTCCAGGAACTTTCTAGGCCTTGGGAATACTGCAGTGAATTAGACACTGCAGACCCTGTCCTCATGGAGCTTATATATAGTGGGGAAGACATGAGGATGGGTCAACAGGAAAATACATAGAAGGAAGTTGTTATCAGTACTAGAGCAACAAGAGATTGAGATAAAAAAAAATGACAGTGGGAGAGCAGAACTTAATTTAGAATAAGTTAATTAGGGAAGGCTTCTCTGAGGAAGTGACATTTAGGCTGAATCAAAAAATGCAAAGATGCTAACTGTGCAAAGAAAAGGGAGGGGGGATCTGGGCAGGGGGTATTATGGGTGCAGAAGCCTTAAGGAATAAAAGTTACCTTCATTCACATAGGCCCCCAGTGTGCCAGGTAGCATTCCATGTGCAGGGGCTACCCCAGAAAAACCAAGCAAGTCGCTGCCCTCGTGAGCTTAGGTTAGAGGTGTAACACAGAGAGGACTGGCAGCAAGCAGACAGGCGGATACATGAGGTAACGGCAAGTAGTCATGAGTGAGGGTGCTGTTTTACAGAGACTTGGCCAGGGGAGAAAAGCTGGTTTAACAACCATGTGGATGAGCGTCCTCATCCTGTGGGCGAGGAGCAAAGTCATCTCAAATGCGGTTAGAGAGGAGGCCAGATCCTGGAGGGCTTGAAACCATATCAAGATGTTTGGGAGTGAGCATTGGGATGCCCACATCCCATGTCCAGAGTGCCTAGGTTCAGTTCCCAACTCCACTTCTAAATCCAGCTTCCTGCTGACGTGCACCGGGGAGGCAGCAGATGATGGCCGCAGTAGTTGGGCACTTACCACCCACATGAGAGATCCAGAGGGTGTACTGGGCTTCTGGCTTCAGCCTGGCTCAGCCTTGGCTGCTGTAGGCATTTTTAAATTAATTAATTAATTAATTAATTTGAAAGTCAGAGTTACATAGAGAGAGAAGAAGAGGCAGAGAGAGAAAGAGAGAGAGGTCCTCCATCCACTGTTTACTCCCCAACTGGCCGCAATGGCCAGAACTGTGCTGATCAGAAGCCAGGAGCCAGGAGCTTCCTCTGGGTCTCTCATGCGGGGGCAGGGGCCCAAGGACTTGGGCCATCTTCTACTGCTTTCTCAGGCTGTAACAGAGAGCTGGATCGGAAGTGGAATAGCTGGAACTCAAACCAGTGCCCATATGGGATGCCGGCACTACAGGCAGCAGTTTTACCCACTACGCCACAGCGCCGACCCCTGCTGTAGGCATTTGGGGAGCGAACCAGTAGATGGAAGGATTTCTTACCCCCAACCCCGGATTTCTTTCCTCTTCTCTCTCTCTCTCTCCCCCTCCCTTTCAAATAAATAAAAGATAGTAAAGGATACCTTTTATAAAGCTTAGTGGAGGCCATGCTATGGTAGACTTTAATGGCAAGGTCAGAAGACTTAAGGAGCCATTGGAGTCTCTAAGCAGAAAAGTAGCCCAAGTCAAAGTTATTAAGAGGTGTGACTTGGAGGTGTCAGGCTAGGACACTATGAGCTGTGGCCATCAGCTGCCCCCGAGCCTTGGCACAGATGGTGCAGCACAGCCGGGCACCAGAACTGAGTCCCCAGGGCATTTGCTAGAGCTCACGGCCTATGGAATTCAGTTCTCAGAGCCAGGTGGCCAAAGTCCTTGCACCTTTGACACTGCCCACCACCACCCCCACCCTGCTCTGTTCTGTGAATGTTCTCCCCTCTCCAGGATGAGCAAGTTAAAGCCCAGGGTAGGTCACGTGAGGAACTGGCAGGATAGCTCCTAGCCCAGAAGCTGAGATTGGAGGCCCACAGCTAGCAAAAGGGATGAGGGATTCCGAAATCGCAACAGGAATTGGATGAGGGTATGAGGAGAGGGGGCTCGGGACCACGGCAGGGATTCTGAGCCTCAGGGGTACTGCAGTCAGTCTTGTCATCTGCCCCGATGTGATCCTCGTGGGGCCAGACACAGGATGCGGCAGCAACGGGTTGCAGAAAGAGCCAGAATATGTACACTGGAAGGGTATCTCTCCACAGACCGGGGGACTTCCTGAGCCAAAGGCGATCCCCCAGATAAGAGCCTGGAGTCACAGCTCCCTGAAACCTCCCCAGCTGGACGAAGGTCTGAGGCATCCGGGACAGCGGAGTGGAGGAGAAAGGTGTCCCAGAAGCACACTTGGTTTCTCTGGAGAGCTGCACCCAGGGCTGGGTGCAATTCTCACGTGGCCGAGCTGCAGCCTACCCTGGGGTGGGGGAGGGGGAGGCCAGGCCTGCAGACTCAGGAGTCACCTGCCCCGCCCCCCGCGCCTGTGTGAATTCCGAGCAAGGGGCAGCACTGGTATACCTGTGAAGCCTCCTCCCTGGTTTCTGGGGTTGGACCTGCAGGGATGTGCTCAGCCCAGCCTTATATAGTGACACCCCCCCCCCTCGCCATGTCTCTGCTCCCCCCACACACACCCAGCCGGCTCTTCTGAGAAAGGAGGAAGGTGTGGGAGGACCAGGCACCCTGCCCGGCGGCCCTTTCTGACCTCAAGCAGAGTGGGGACTCCCTTTCCCCACCCCCACCATCCCGCTCAGCATTCTTCCTCCTCTCAGCCTCTGACTGAGTCCCTCCTTCTGCGTGGCCTGGATCCCAGCCCAATTCCTCATTCCGAGGCAGGATGGCGGGGAACCGTGCGAGGGGAGGCCTCAGCCTGCGCTTCCGCTTTTCCCAGCAGCCCATGAGCACCCAAACAGCAGCTGCAATATCCATTTAGCTCTCTGCCTCTCCTTCACTCTCTGTGTAACTCTGACTTTCAAGTAAATAAATAAATATTTGAAAACAATCCATTTGAGGTAGTGGGGTGCTGGGGGGGGGCTTTGCCTCCTTCCTGGAGTCTGTTCCCATCTTGGGGAGGGAGGCACTGAGACCTGAGGGGACAGGAAGGGAAAATAAAGGGCTTAAGGTCTGGCCAACTATGGAATCCAAGAGAGCAGGGTTCCCCTGGCACCCTGCCCTACAGTGTGTGGGGCCGTGGGCCTGTGGTGGTCCCTCTCCTCAGCCCACCTCTGTCCCCCCGCCCCAGAACCTGACCCCTGCCATGGAGAGGTGGGACTTCCCAGAGTCTGAGATCTTTCCCTTCATCCTTCCCTGGAAGCTCAGAAAGTGCTTTCTGCTGTCTAGCTACTCCTAGCTGCCAACCAAGAAAGGCGGGGCAAGGGGGAAGCCACAGTGTCAAGGTCAGCTGCCTGGGCCTTGGGCCAGAACTGGGGCAGTGCCACAGGGGAACCGAGGGTAGCAAAGAGAAGAGTCACTGAGCATTGTGCAATGGGCAGGGGAGGAGGCAAGGGGACTGGCAGGGGGAGGCCGGCAGGGAGGGATGGCTTGGTCCCTGGAGGACTGGCCATTATCCCCTTCCCAGGGGCCTGCCTGGCCCCAGTTCAAAGTGGCTGTCACCCACCCCTCATTAACCCCGGCAGCGCCAGGCTGGCCGCAGCAGTACTTCTGTGGGAGAAGCGAGGCCTAATATGCTCCCCCCTCCCCAGGCTCTTGCTGCCCCCTCACCCCAACAGCCAGCTCTTTGCTCTCTCTGAGGCCAGAAGACCCTGGGCAGAAGGAGGGAACCCGAGGCGAGGTGCAGCGGTGGAAGAAGGAGCAGTGAACGCCCCTCCCCTCCAAATCTGGGCACTGCCTCAGGCCCTGGTGGAGGGGAGGGGATGGAGCGGCCTGGAGGGCAGGCACAACTTGGGGTCCCCCAGGCTCCTCCAAGGCGCCTAGCATTGAAAAGTGGCTCACCCGGCCGGCTGGGGTCGGCTTGTACTGGAAGGGGACTCTCCTTCATGACTCCATTTTGAGGTTCCTGGGAAAGATGGCTATGGGGTTCCCCGACTGGGTAGCCCTGGGAAGCTGAGGCAGCAAATATAGAAAGAGGAAGCCGGGGCCTTGCCGATGCCTGGACAGTAGCTGTCGGGTCGCAGCCCTGCCACACGGGCGCAGCCGCCCCTACACACACACACACACACACACACACACACACACTCCAGACTCCACAGTCCCAGGACTCATCCTAATCTTGGGGAGACATTGCCATTGAGGACATGCAAAAGGAACAGACCGGGTGGGCAAGTCAGACTCTGACTTGATTGGGTGACAGGGCTTGAACCTGGACTGGGCACGAAGGGAGAGACACTGGGATTGGGGAAGAGCACCGCTTCCCTAAGAGTCATCCGATCCAACCAGGGAGCCGCAGCGTCGTCTGTGAAGGGGCGGGAGAAACACGGAGGGGAGAGGAAGAAAGCTACAGAATTGGCGGGCAGAGGTCCTGGGGGCGAAGACTAGATGCTGTCGAAAACGCCCGGCTCCTGGCGGAGGACAGCAGCAGGCGGGGACACACAAAGACATAGCCACCGCAAGCCCATCCATTGGTGGGGACCTCCACGCCCAACTCCTCCTTACCCTCAACAAAAATGGCCGCCACGGGAGCCCATCCGAAGCCCGGGGATGGATGAGAATGGAGCCTGCAGTCCCGCCCCGTTGTGGGCAACCCGCCCTTCTCAAAAATGGCCGCCGAAGCGTCTCTGGAAGGGGACCGCTCTGGGCCCCGGCTTTGATCTCGTTGGTGGGGCTGGGGGATGAGAGCTGCACCGCGCGGGACAAGTCGCCGGCGGCGCCCGACGGAGCAGGTGATTTCCCCTCCAGTCCCTGGCCCGGGGCTTGGAGAGTCGCGGAGAGCGTTGACTCAGGGTACCTGATCTGAGTGTTTCCCTCTGGTACCCCCCCCCGGGCTCGCCGGACCCCCGTCTCTGATGCTCGCCGTGCCCTGTATTAAGGCACATCCACTTTGCTCAGGCCTTCCTCTTCGTGTCCCCCCCCCCCCCCCCCCAGGCCGCAACCGCATCCCCATGCCCTCGGGTCCACTATTCCGGACTCTTTCGGATGCCCCGCTAGCGGGTTTCGGGAGCTCTTGCTTCAAGGGGTCGGCCATCGTCGCGGCCCCACTTCCTGTGCTCCCCCACCCCTCACCCGCGTCTGTGCCCCCCTGACTGGATGTCAGGATCGCTTGTTCCCCTCCGTGTCCTTGCTGCCTGTCAGGGTCAGGGGAAATGGTATTCTCTGGGGCTTTCGTAGCGGGGCTTCACCGGGGTGGGAGAAGCAGGGACGACCTCCTGCTAGACCCCCTGCCGCCTGCCGGAGTTCCTCAGGACGGCTCCTGCCTCTCGGCCTGGAGCGTCTGCCCGCCCCGGGGAGCAGCACGGCCCGCCGACGCCTAGGGGGTCGCCGGCCCGGGCCTGGTCCTCGGCGAGTGTGGGCTTGTTGCGCTTGGCTGCAGCGAGAGAGGGAGCCCCACAGAATGGGATTGGGGAGGCAGAAGATGTTCTGCACTGGGAGAGTGGTGTGAGCGAAGATTCTGAATTAGGCCAGACCGGAGAGGAGGATCAGGCTGGGGCCGCTTCGCTGGCGTCATGGAGACGGCCTGGCGCGGGTTCTGCGGCCAGGCTGCAGAGTGGGAACCCGCAGTTAACTTGCTTTGTGACTTCAGGCAAGTCACTCAACTTCTCAGTGCTTCTGTTTTCTTTCAGGTAAGATAGGGATAATATTCGTGTCTATGTTTTAGGTTTATTGTAAGGATTAAGTAAATTAATACAAGGGTACTCCACAACGTTTGTGGAAAATGGAATTTTAAATTTTATTTTGGTGCAAAAATTTTTTGAAATCCTTGTTTATTTTTCTATCCATGAACAATTTTTTAAAGATTTATTTATTTGGCAGGTAGAGTTACAGACAGTGAGAGAGACAGAGAAAGGTCTTCCTTCCATTGGTTCACTCCCCAAATGGCCGCTGCGGCTGGTGCTGCGCTGATCCGAAGCCAGGAGCCAGGTGCTTCCTCCTGGTCTCCCATGCGGGTGCAGGGCCCAAGCACCTGGGCCATCCTCCACTGCCTTCCTGGGCCACAGCAGAGAGCTGGACTGGAAGAGGAGCAACCGGGACAGAACCCGGGGCCCATATGGGATGCTGGTGCCGCAGGCAGAGGATTAGCCAAGTGAGCCACAGCACCCGGCCTGTCCATGAACATTTTTTTTCTAAATGAGAGACCCGCAGGGCTGCAGGTGTTTGTGCCTTTTTTTTTTTTTAATTAAAGATTTTAATTATTTATTTGAAAGTCAGAATTACAGAGAGTTTCCGGAAAGCCAGAGAAAACTTCATCTGCTGGTTCACTCCCCAAATGGCCTCAATAGCTAGGCCAAAGCCAGGAGCCAGGAGCTTCATCCAGGTCTCCCACATAGATACAGGAGCCCAAGCACTTGGGCCATCCTCCGCTGCTTTCTAAGGTGCATTAACAGGGAGCTGGATCCATGGTTGAACAGCTGGGACTTGAACCCATGCCCATGTGGGATGTCAGTGCTGCAGACAGCGGTTTAACCTGCTGTGCCACAGCACCAGACCCTATCTATGAACTTTTTTTTTTTTTAAAGATTTATTTATTTACTTGAAAGTCAGAGTTACACAGAGAGAAGGAGAGGCAGAGAGGTCTTCCATCTACTGCTGGTTTACTCCCCAATTGGCTGCAACGGCTGGAGCCATGCCAAAGCCAGGAGCCAGGAGCTTCTTCCCGGTCTCCTATGTGGGTACAGGGGCCCAAGGACTTGGGCCATCTTCTACTGCTTTCCCAGGCCATAGCAGAGAGCTGGATTGGAAGTGGAGCAGCCAAGACTTGAACTGGCACCCATATGAGATGGTGGCACTGCAGGCAGAGGCTTTACCTGCTACATCACAGTGGCAGCCCCTATCCATGAACTGTTTGAAGGCTCCCTCATATGCATGGATTTCAGCATCTTTTTTTCACCAAAATAAGCCTATTTTTATTCCATTTTCCATGAACTTTTTTTTTTTTTTAATTTGAGAGACAGAAAGAAACAGAGAGGGAGAGAGAGAATCCCTATCTGCTAGTTCACTCTCCAAAAGCTGGGAGCTGAATTCAATGCAGGTCTCACATGTGGGTGGCAATGACTTAGTTACTTGAACCATGAGGGGTCTGCATTAGCAGGAAGCTAGAATTGGGCCAGAGCCCAGTATTGAACCCAGGTAACCTGATGGGACAGCCTGTTCTTATATGAAATTTTTTTTTTTTTTGACAGGCAGAGTGGACAGTGAGAGAGAGAGACAGAGAGAAAGGTCTTCCTTTTGCCGTTGGTTCACCCTCCAATGGCCGCCGCGGCCGGCGCGCTGTGGCCGGCGCACCGTGCTGATCCGATGGCAGGAGCCAGGAGCCAGGTGCTTTTCCTGGTCTCCCATGGGGTGCAGGGCCCAAGCACCTGGGCCATCCTCCACTGCACTCCCTGGCCACAGCAGGGGGCTGGCCTGGAAGAGGGGCAACCGGGACAGAATCCGGCGCCCCGACCGGGACTAGAACCCGGTGTGCCAGCGCCGCTAGGCGGAGGATTAGCCTAGTGAGCCGCGGCGCCGGCCTCTTATATGAATTTTTAAAAATAATTAATTAATTAAATATCTGAAAAGCAGAGTGACAGAGAGAAAGAGAGAGAGTGTGTGTGTGAGAGAGAGAGATCTTTCATCTTTTCACTCCTCAAATGAGCACAACATCCCAGACTGGGACAGGCTAAACCCAGGAGCCCAGAATTCCATCCGGGTCTCCCATGTGGGTGGCAGGGGCCCAGGTACTTGGGTCATCATCTGCTGCCTTCCCAGGTGCATTAGCAGGAAACTGAAACACAGGTTGTGTAGCTCAGATTCAAAACAGGCACCCTAATATAGCATGTGGGTGTTGCAAGTGGTAGCCCACCCCTCCATGAGCTCTTTGAAGTGCCCTTGTGCATGGACAGTGATTCGGGCAAGGCCAGGTAGCAGTCAGTAAATGCTGCCGTTGTTGCCTTCATCAGAGCGGTGCAAGGAGGACGAATGACAGAGTGACAGCCACATTTCATAGGCAGCACTCACCAGTGATCCCCCCTAAGCAGCAGTGGATTCTGTAGGTTACATCTGGAATTTGAAAAGCCTAATGGAAATCATGTCTCTACACTGGAGGAAGCTGGTTGTTCAGGCTTGTGACTCAGGAAAACAATTTGGTAAACCAAACCCTAGTTCAGGCCCGGCTCAGGGACAGATCTTAGGAGGAGCTCCTGAGCAAGAGGGACGTGCTGAGGAGGGCAGGGGCTTGTGGGGAGGAATGAAGAGGGCAGTGGGCAACTTTACCCAAGAAAGGACGGACGCTGTTCCCTTAGGAGACAAGAGCAAAAGCTCGGGGAGGAAGACTTTTTCTTTGGGGAATTGAGTCTCCGGCTCACAGCTCCCTGACCACCAGACCTTGGTTAGAAAGCCAGAGTCCTCAGACACATCCTGAGACGTTTCTTCCCTGGAAGCTGGGCTCTCGTGCAGCAGCCATGAGCCTTTGTCCCAGAAGAGGTTGCTGGGCATACAAGGTCCCATCATGCAGCTGCTAGAGGCCCACCCCCTCAGCTCCCCAGGGCCAGGGTGGGAAGCAGGAGACAAGCATCTCTGTGCTTTCCGCACTGACCCCTGCACTACCACAGCAATTCTGTGTTACCACTCAGGGGACTAGGCGACTCTGACCATCGGTGATATCCCTGGTCCAACCCACTTGGAAGTCTTGATACCTGCCATCTGCAGAGTAGCGCCTAGAATAGACAATGAACCAGATGACCTGCACGTCAGTCATGACTGCCATAGTCAAGCCAGGTGACTCTGGGCAAGTCATTAAAGCCACCAAGCCCCCATTTCTCTGTGGAGTGGGGAGCAGCTGTTTACCGAGCGCCCACTTCATGAGATGCCAAGTGTGCACTGGTGAAGAAGCCAAGTGTGGAGTCCCCGCCTTCATGAAATAACTGAGGCAACGCTGGACACTGTCCAAACACTGACAGCTGAGAACGGTGCGGCTACGGAAAGAGAGGGGCGGTCTGCAATGAGGACGTGAGGTGACGGGAGCCAGGGCAGGCGTTGCCCCCGCATGGGATACCTGCCTGCCATATCGGGGTGCCAGTTTGATTGCAGGCTACTCTGCACTTCCTACCCAGTTTCCTGCTGACACACCTGGGCAGCATTGGATGACGGTTCAAGCGTCTGGGTTCTTGCCACCCATGTGGGAGACCCAGATGGAATACCTGGCTCCTCAGCCCCAGCTGTTGCTGGCATTTGGGGAGCAAACCACTGGATAGATCTCTCTCCCTCACCTACTCTCTTTGCTTTGCCTTTCACATCAATCAATAAATAAATCTTAAAAAAAAAAAAAAAAAAAAAAAAAGAAGAAGAAGGAGGAGGAGGTAGGGACCAAACCAGTTCTAGAGGTTCAGGGGAAGTGTCCTTGGAGGCAGGGAATTTTAAACTGAGACCCAAGAGTTAAGAAGGAGTGAGTGAAGAGGTCATGGGGGATGGTGCCCAGGCAGAGGGAACCGTGCACAGGCCCTTGCCATGAAAGAGCTTGAGTGCTGGCAGACTGAAAGCAAGCAAGGGTGCAGGGGAGGGATTGATGCATGATGAGCCTAAGGCCCTGAATTGAAGTCTATGAAGATTTTTGACTTATCTGAAGAGTAGCAAGAAGGCACTAAGCAGAAAAAAAATGCCTTTTTTTTTTTTTTAATGTATTTATTTGAAAGAGAGAGCTCCCATCCCCACATGCCTGGATTGGCCTGAGCTGGGCCAAGGCCAGAGTCAGGACCCAGGAACTCAATCCATGTGTCCTGCACGGGAGACGGGAATGCAGTTACTTAGCCCCCTCCCCGCCTTGCAGCATCTGCATTAGCAGGAAACGAGTCAAGAGCCGGAGGTGAGAACACATGATTGTAGTAAAGATCACATGGCTGTAGTGAGGAGAAGAGGTTGCTGGGGGAAAGATGATAGTGGGGAGAAGGGTCTGAAGGCAAGAGACAGAGCAGAGAGGAGGCAGAGAGGGACAGTAGATGTGTTGAATGAGAATGTTAAGATTGAATTAGGGAAGGCAAGGATACTTTCCAGACTTGTGAAACAGCTGGTGCCTAGACATGCAGTTATTGAGGATGACCCTGGAGGAACGTAAAACTTGGGGAGATGTCAGTCTGGGATGTGGTAGTGTCAGGGAGGTAGATGTACACGTTTGTAGCTCAGAGCAGAAGACTGGCCAGAGGATAGGGTTGCTACTTAGAGAGAGGGGTCCAGATGAGATCTTCAGAGGAAGAGAGCAAGAGTGGAGTGAGAAGGGCAGTGACTTTGAGCTTGAGGAACTCCAACATTTAGAGGGTGGCAGAGGGGAGGGGGCTGGAGAAGGAGCCAGGGAGGAAATGGCCAGAGAAATAGAAGGAAACCAGGAGAATGTGCTATCTTGAATACAAAAGTTGGTGCTATTGAAACGGCAAATATTAGATGAACTCATAAAAAAAATTTCCCTCCCTACCCTTTTTAAGTTATTTGAGAGGCAGGGAGAGACAGACAAGAGCTCCCATCCACTGGTTCACTCCATGTGTGCTCACAATGGCCAGGTGGAGAGGCTGAAGCCAGACCCCAGAACTCAATCCAGGTCTCCCATATTGGTAGCAGGAACCCAACTATTTGAGCCAGCACCTGATGTCTTCCAGGGTCTACATTAGCAAGGAGCTGGGACCCAAACCCAGGTGTTCTGATATATGGAATATGGGCATCCTAACCAGTGTCTTAATTGCTGGATTGAACATCTGCCAAAATTGGCAAGTTCATATAGTCAATCTAATTTGACCAAAATTGGAAAAATTATCTGGTGTTGACCTTAAGTTGAGAGGTTTTGGTAGTGATGTTGGAGAAGCCAGACTGGAGGTGAAGAGAAGTGGATAGAATGAAGATTACTAAGGGAATAGGATCAACATTGGGTGTTGCAGGTGAAATCAAGGTTTGGCAGCTGAGTGGTGGTATCAGCTGATGCACCAGGAGGTGTGTGTTTGGAGAGATGTGCGCAGATGGGAAGGAGCTCATGAGCTTGGGGTGGGTGGAATGCAGTGGCAAGCCGGCAGGAAGTGAGAAGAGCCCCTGGATGTGTGGAGGACATGGGTGGGAAGAGACTTGGCAGGTTTGAGGAGCAGCAAAGAGGCTGGTGGGGAGCACTGGAGGGAGTAGAAGGCAGCAGTGAGGCTGGAGAGGTGGGCAAGGCTCAGGTCTTGCAGGGCGCCGTGGGCCTTGGGAAGGAGCATGGACAGTCCTGTGGACATCCCAAGCTGCTGGAAGGGCAGGGATGGGGCAGGAAGAGCAAATCCACGGAAGACTTCCCTTTCTGTCCAGGTCCCAGAGCCAGAAAAGCCCCTTTGTGCAGAGAGGGTGGGCGGCCTGTTCTGGGTGGGGGAGGAGCTGTGCTTGTCCCTAGGCCTGCTCCTTGTGGGGCTGGACAATGGAGCCCCTTGTGGTTGGACTTGGAAGCCAAGGCTTCCTCAATGATAGGATTCCTCCGCAGCCAGGAGGCATGTGACCCCGAGACCTCGGCCTTTTGCCAGATAGTCTGGGCCTGCTGCTGGGGAATGGGCTGAGGCACGGTGGGAGGGGGATCTCCCTCTGGAAGCCTTCTCAGAGACAGTGCCCTGCCCTGTTAGAGGCTGGAGGAGGTGGCAGGATGGACAGGAGAGGGGGCTGGGAGGGCCACATCAACAGATGGCTCCACAGCCAGCCTGGAGGGAAGGGCAGCTACCCCCAGACCCAGTGGGCGGAGGCAGGCAGAAGGCAGCCTGGCAAGCCCGTCTGTCTTGTGTTCCCTCAGAAGAGGAGAGAGCATGGAGCTGGAGAGGATCGTCAGTGCGGCCCTCCTTGCCTTTGTCCAGACGCACCTCCCAGAGGCCGACCTCAGGTAGAGACAGCTCCTGCAGGAGGGTCACGCTGGGGCCAGGGCTGGGGGAGGCTGGACTGGAATGCACTCTGCCTGCTTCTAAGGTTGGGGAGGGCCCATCTGATTTGCTGAGATGGCCAGACCTCGCAGCCCATCCCGTCACCATTTCCAGACAGGTGGGAAACCACAACTCAGGACTGTGTGTGAGGGGGGTTATTCCAGCTCAAGGGCTGAGCCCAATGACACCAAGAGCCACGGTCTCCAGCAAGGTGGAGGTAGGGGAGTGTCCTTCGTCCTACCCAGGCCTTGTCCTCTCCTCTCCCTGCAGTGGTTTGGATGAGGTCATCTTCTCCTATGTGCTCGGGGTCCTGGAGGACCTGGGCCCCTCGGGCCCATCAGAGGAGAACTTCGATATGGAGGCCTTCACTGAGATGATGGAAGCCTACGTGTCCGGCTTTGCCCACATCCCCAGGTGGGGCCTGCCTGGGACCGAGAGGAGGAGGGGAGCTGGTTGGTGATGGGGGATGGGCAGAGTTGTTCCCTCACCACTCTGTTGGTCCTTTCAGGGCCACAGTGGGGGACATGATGCAGAAGCTCTCAGGGCAGCTGAGTGATGCCAGGAACAAAGGTGAGTCCAGGGCCCTTGTGTCCAAGCACTTCAGTGAACCACAACCCCCACCACCTGCCAAATCTCATGCTTTCTGCCTCTTTAAGAGAACCTGCAACCACAAAGTTCTGGTGTCCAAGGTCAGGTGCCCACACAGCCAGAGCCCCTGCAGCGGCCTGAAAAGCTCAAAGAAGAGGCCAGGTCTTCTGCAGCTGCTGTGGACACCCAAAAGGAGGTACCATCGGGGAGGGCACTGATGGGGGACCTAGGAGGTGGGGCAGGGGGGAGTGCCGCTTCTTGTCAACATCCATGCCCACAGGCAGCCGGCACCGAGGAGGAGCTACTGCCAGGAGTGGACGTCCTCCTGGAGGTGTTCCCGACCTGTTCAGTGGAGCAGGCCCAGTGGGTGCTGGCCAAAGCTCGGGGTGACCTGGAAGAAGCTGTGCAGATGCTGGTAGAAGGGAAAGAAGAGGGACCTCGAGCCTGGGATGGCCCCAACCAGGTATCCTCGCCCAGGTCCCCAACCTCTGCCCACCTAGCTGCAGCTGTATTCCACCCAGATGCGAAGCCCCCAGCCCTACCTATTCCCATCTGTCTCCCCTGCTGCTGCCACTGGGCCCAGACCAGGCCTCCCTTCCCTGCAGGACCTGCCTAGGCGTCTCAGAGGCCCCAAAAAGGAGGAGTTGAAGTCCTTCATCCTGCAGAAGTGAGTCTGGGCCGGGCTGGGCTGGGCTGGGCTCTGGATGGTCCTCCCGGGGTGGCAGGAGTTCACCCAGCCAGTTTTTGGCAGGTACATGATGGTGGATAGCGCAGAAGATCAGAAGACTCACCGGCCCATGGCTCCCAAGGAGGTGAGAGGGTTGGGGCTGCCGGGGAAGTAGAGCAGGCGGGACTGGCTCCTGCCTCTGCCACTCACTGTCTGATTGCTCTGTAGGCCCCCAAGAAGCTGATTCGATACATTGACAACCAGGTAGTGAGCACCAAAGGGGAGCGATTCAAAGACGTGCGGAACCCTGAGGCCGAGGAGATGAAGGCCACGTACATCAACCTCAAGCCAGCCAGAAAGTACCGCTTCCACTGAGGCACTCGCTGGACTCTGCACAAGCCTTCCAGGCTTAGATCCCAGAGGGATGCAGGAGCCCTACCTCCCCACACAGGGGCCTCCCTGACTCCCACCCCAGCCCCGGCCCTTTCTCAGCTTCCTTGCTCTGTAGTGTTCACCTACTGTTGGAGCTGCCTCCATGGGCACAGTAAAAGTGGCCCAAGGAAGGTGTGAGTGCGTTCTGGTCATTTCCGCCTCAGGGTTGGGACCCTTTGCCCCTCGCCTCCCCTCCTCCCCCCAACTTCACATTCCCTATCTCCAGCAGGGCAGCACCAGGCAAGAGGGGATAAAAAGCTCTTTATTTGAACCTCCAGGGTAGGGCAGGGCCCTGGCCTCTTTGCCAGAGAGCCCCAAAGTTCAGTTTCCCTAAGCTCAGGGCCAGGTCCCAGCCACACAGTCCAGCTGTGCTCCAGTGGCAGGCGGGTCAGACCTGCAGGTTGACAAAGGGTGCGAAGCCCGCCATGTCCTGCAGCAGCACCAGGGCCTGGTGCAGCGGCGGCTCCACGTCGATGTCCACACCGCGCTTCCGCAAGCGGCTCAGGCTGGACTCGGCCACGTGGTGGCAGTGCCGCACCCGCAGCGAGCGCAGCGCCGGGCAGTACTCTGCCAGGGTCCTGAGGGAGGAGCGGGGTGAGGCCAAGGGCACAAGGCCACCACACACACGGGCACGCACTGCGGGGCAAGGGTCAGGGCCCTCGGGTGGGCTCCAGCTCCCAAGTCCAGCTCTGGCCAGCTGGGGGGCATTTTTTTCCCTTCCATATGCAAAAGAGGAGGCCTGGGCTGGGGTAATTGCCTCTATGCCTCCAGGGTGCCGGAGACTTCCTGTCCCTCAGCTCCGCCCAGGCCTCTGACTGCCAGGAACCGACTTCCCAAGTGAACTCTCCTAGTGTGTAAATTCTGGCGCAGAAGTTTGTAAGCTGCGGGCTCTCTGGCCTAGGCAATCCAGAGGCCTTTCCTGTTCCGAATGAGGGTGCCATGGTTAGCAGGGAGACGCAGAGCCCTCTCTCAGCTGGGCCCTGTGACAGCTACAGCCCGAGCGATCGCCCTCCTCCCACCTCACCGCCCCCCGAGGCCCCGGCACCTGACGCTGTCGCTTCCCACGCGGAGGCAGCCAGTGAGGTCGAGGTGCTCGAGTTGTGGGCAGTTCCGAGCCAACTCCTGGACCGCGGCGTCCCCTACGTTGGCGTTTACCGCCAGAGAGAGGCTGCGCAGGCCGGCGCCGCGCCTCTGCGCCAGGTACACTATGGCTTCGTCCTTGAGCTGACGGCAGGCGGTGAGGTCCAACTCCTCCAGGGCCGGGCAGCGGTCGGCGAGGCCACGCAGCGCTAGCCCGTCCACCCAGTCACAGTGCGCGAGCGACAGTCGCTGCAGGCGAGGGCAGCCCTCGGCCAGCGCCCCCAGCGCGCGGCGACTCAGCTGTCCGCAGCTGGCCAGCGCCACACTCCGCAGCTGCGGATTCCGCGCCAGCACCGGCACCAGGTCCTCGTCCGACAGCCATTCGTGACACGGCGCCAGCGCCAGCTCCTGCAGCCCCTCGGCGTCCCGCAGCAGCCGGGCCAGTGCGGCCCGCGGGATCTGCGGACCCACCTGCGGGAGGGGAGGCACTCCGACTTCAGCCCGTCGGGGAGGGACGGACGCTGCCCCTCCTGGCAGCCGCCTGCCCTCGGGTTGGCCACCTGCTCTCCCAGGAGAGTCCAGGCTCCTCTAGAGTCGCTACCCAGTACTCGCCGTCGGGAGTACTCCCTGCTGGCCTGGATCGCAGCCGGGCAGCACTGGCGGCCCAAGGGGGTCGGGAAGGGCAGCTAGTGGGGCTGGCGGCCGGCGGGAGGCGGGGCGGGGCGGGACCCCGGCGAGGGCGGGACTCCAGCCGTTAGCTCACCTGAGCCGCGTCGAAGCGGCGCAACCCCGCCAGGTGCAGCTGCACTAGCGCCCGGAAGGCTCGGCTAACGCGCTGCAGCCGGAGCAGCTGGCACAGCGGGACCCGGTCCAGGACGTGGGGAAGCAACACATCTTCCCAGGGCAGGTCCAGGAGCCTGCGCGTAATGGAGAATTGGTGTTTCCAGGCCGCAGTTACCTGCGAGTCTGCCTCCGCTGTGCTCCCACACCCCGGCTCCCAAAGACGCCCCCACACTCAGCCTTGGCTCAGCTCTCCTCCCCCGAGTGTCCCTTCCTTCTTTGGGCCCCTCCAGTCCTCGGTACCTGACGGCTCCGGGCTCTCGCTCCCCTCCGGAACGCTCCATTGGTGGCTCCGTGGGCTGTCTACTGCGCGTGCGCAGTACGGCCTCGCTCCGGCCTGGAGCCGCCGCGGCGAACCCGCCTCCTTGGGCTGTAGAGACAGGCCGATTCAATCGAGTGCCGTCTCACCGAGGCTCCTGTCAAAGCTTTCCGGATGGTCCCCGAAACTAAGGCGGAACAGACACTAGCTTAACGTTAGACCTCGCCTTCTCCGCCGCAAGGCTTAAGGCCCGAAGCTGGAGAGCGCGGCGGGCGCCAGAACCCTGTTTCTGTCTCCGTCTTGAGCAAGTAGACGCCTCGGAGTGAAATGGTGATGGGAGGAGTTGGCAAGGCCAGTCGCAGAAGGGGCGGAGCCAGGGCTCCCAGGTGGCCGGCCTTTCCTACCCTGGGGTCGCGTTTAGCGACTGAACCACCGGGAGGGACTCGGTGGTACTTGTTGAGTGCCTGTGACATGCCGGACCCTTACGTGTGGCACGTAGTAGGTACTCAGTAAGTAAAAAACGCTGAAAGCACGAATGGATGGGGCGAAGCTAGGGTTTCTCTCCCTTCATCCAGCCGACTTGTTCCAACCTCCCGTTCCTGGTTCACTGTGAAGTACAAAGGCTGCCAGCCCTGCCACGCCGGGACAGCGTGGCGCGGGGTTCACCCCGAGGGACACAGACGTAAGGGATGCCAGGAAGCATCGCCTGTTACATCTACAGTCCCTTTCTTCTCCCGCGATCTAGGATCCTAGGCAGAATGGGCAGGGGTACGGCTCCTCTGCCGGCCCTGAGTTTAGCTGCAGAGTCGGGCTGGACCCCCGCTGGGACGGTGACGCCCGGAGCTCTGGACCCAGCCTGTGGACTGTCCTTTTACCAGGTCCCAGGTCCTACTTCAGGGTCTGCTCTGGGCAACGCTGGGGATAGTGCTTTCTCCCCACCATTCCCCGCGTGGGTGTGGGGGCATGTGAAGGAGGCGAGGGCCACCGCCATCTCCGAAGGCCGCGCACTCCTGTGGTGCAACCACTTCCGCAGCCCCTTTGTAACGAAAATTGCTTCCCTTTCCTTTCCGCATCACTCGGGCACCTCGGCAAGGTGGGCAGGTCTGTGCTGTCATTCCATTTTAAACACGGGGAAGTCATGGAGGCAGGGTCGTTACTGGGTCCAGGATAGCAGGAATAACTTCTAGTGTTCCATAGCATAGTAGGGCAGCCATGTTACTATGACAACGATGAATTGTATATTTCAAAGTAGTCAGGATTGTGAATGTTCCAGCAGTGTTTGAGGTGATGGATATGCCAGTTACCCTGCTATGCTGATTATCACTGCGCGTTCTATACATGTATTGGAATATCACAGTGTACCCCATATATACGTACAATCGTTATGTCAGTTAAAAATATTCAGGGAAACCGAAGGGACTGGAGAGGATCTGTTGTCCAGGATCAGGCCGGTCGGGAGTAGAGAACCCAGACATTCAGGTTCCCCCAGAATTCCTTCCACGCTGCCTCGCATACAGGGAGAAGGGAGAAGCCAGCGGCAGGCAGGCCCAGAAGAGGGTCGGACTGGGTGAGGGGCTTGCCGGCGCTTCTTCCTCGGCGGAGTCGCTGGGAGGACTGACCTCTGTAAAGATAGAACTACGTGAACGCGCATCGCCTCTGGCCACGCGCCTCCTCCCCTGCCCCCCCCCCACCGCTTTGTTCGCGTTTGAGCGCCTGCGCAGTGCGACAAATCTGGCGCTGTCCCCTTCAGCACCACGCGGAGTCCGCGCCGCCCCTCCCCGCGGTGAGCCCCGCGCGCCCCCGCCTCGCACGTCCTCGCGCCCCCGACCGCCCGCATCCACCCCTTCTTCCTTCTGAGGTCACCACCTACTCACCCTGGCCTTCCCAAGAGAGTAGCCATAGTAGCTCGAGCGGCGCTTCCCTCTACGCAGGACGAGGGGACAAGGGCTGCCTGTCCCCCGCTTGCTCCACTCCCGGGGTGATCTCATCTAAGCTAGCTATGGGCGGACGGGACGCCCAACTCGGGCAGCAAGGAAGTTCTTCCTGAAGTCTGACTTAGCATCCGTCCTACTGCATTCCGGGCGTGCGGTCGGGGCTGAGACTCCCGGGTCTGAGACTCAGAATCCCGGAGGGTTCGAGGCGCTGTTGCCTACATCTCCTCCCATAGGCGGCCGTCTCCCGGATTTAGGGGGCGGGTCCAAGCCTTCACCCGTACGGGGTGCCTGGCGCGGCCGCGTGCTCGTGGGGGCGGGGGCGCGTGTGGCATGTAACAGGTCATGTGGCAGCCTCCGAGGGACACGCGTGGGGTCTGGAGCGGGCCACGCGTGTGCAGCTGGGTCCGACCAGTGGTTCAGGGGGCGGTGGACGACAGGGACGTGGACTCGAGCGGGGCGGGGCTCATGAGGATCTGGGGAACAGAAGCAGGGGTTCCAATCGCCCTCCCCCTCAACTGGGGCGGATCTTAGGTTGGCGGGAGAGCCCATCGGGCACCTAGCGACGACGGGGGCTGGCAGCCTCCGGGACTCGGGACCCTGGGAGAGGGCGGGGTGGGGGGTGGGGATTAGCGTTGCCTGAGTGGCGTGCATCGGGGGAGGAGGAGGGACTGAGAGGCGGGCGGGCCTGGAGCGAGCGGGAGCCGCGCTGCCTTCACAGCTGAGCTGGGCCCAGCCTCTCCCCTGCCTCTCCTCGGTCCCAGCTCCCGGCGAGCAGCGGTGAGTACAGAGGTGGCTCTGCTGAGTGAGGACTGCACAGGGGATGCCCTGGGCCCCCGTTGAGCTTCAGGAACCTGCCTGGCAGGATTGCTGCTCCCGACCTCTGCCTCTACCCTGCCTTGCCCCCAGAAGCCCTATTACCCCACTGATGGCCCTCTCGGGCTGGACAAGATCCGTTAGCCACCCCGGGGAAGGCAGCAGGAAAGGGATTCGGGGCAGTTTTCCCTGCCAGAGACTCGGTGACAGGTGGGAGGGGGGAGGGGAGGGTGTGTGTCCATGCCTGAGTCTGTGTGTAAATGGTAAACGTCCCTCTTTATAGCTGGGGGGGGGGGGGGGGCTGTGTCCAGTAGGTTTCTGCATGTGCCTGATTTACCTGTGTCTGTGTGCACTGGGTAGTGAGAGGCTGTGTGTAGGTTTGTGTGCCTCTTTGTGTGCTCCTGTTTGCTGATGGTGTGTGTGTGTGTAAGAGAAGTATGCGCCTTTCCATTACACACATATTTGTTATGACTGTGAGTGCATGAGGGTGTGTCACTGAGCAGTGTGTGCCTGCATCCGTGTGTGCCAGGGTGTTGCCTATGAATGTGTAGAACTGTATCCCGACATGTTGGTCCTTGTGTGTGTGTGTGCACGTGTGTGTGCATGCATGTTTGTACCTGGATGTGGACCCATTCGCACCTGTGTGGTGAACAAGAATGTTCTTTGCCATGCAGCAAGTATGGGATGGGGGGGGGGGCTGCTGTCCAGGCCTCCCTCCCCATCTCCCGTGCCTTCAGCCCATCCCCGTCCCCGGGTAACCCCTGTTCCTCCTCCCTCTCCTTCCAGGAGGCCTGAGTCCCCCCACCACCTAGGGAGGAGAGGGAGCTACAGGGGGCCCACGGCTGTATGCGAGTGACATTCCTGATCCAGAGGGTGGGGTCGCAGCTGCCCTCACACCAGAAGTAGCTCTAGAGTGCCAGGGGACTCTGGGCTCCCTCAACTTCTGAACTGGCTTCCTCTCTCCTCCCAGGCAGGACAGGAACCAGGGGCCTGTGGGGTGGGTCATATGGTTTTCTCAGGCCTCCATGGAAGCAGCCCCCAGGGGTGGGGTCTCTAGGCCCGTGTTCCCAGTGGGGGCTTAGGTCCCTGATACTCGGAGGCTCCAGCCAGCGTTCCCCTCCCTGTTTGTGCTTTCCTGCCCACCTAACTCCCTAGCACTTCACCCCTTGCTCCCTTCCTCTCTTGCAGGCCTGTCTGAAGAGCATGCAGCCCCCTCACTCCCCGCCTGGCCTCGCCATCCCTGCCCCCCCAGCCTGACCCCCGGCCCCAGCATGGCCCAGGGTGCCATGCGCTTCTGCTCGGAAGGCGACTGCGCCATCTCCCCACCACGATGCCCTCGCCGCTGGCTCCCGGAAGGCCCAGTGCCCCAGAGCCCCCCCGCCAGCATGTATGGCAGCACAGGCTCTCTGCTTCGGCGAGTAGCAGGTCCAGGTCCCCGAGGCCGGGAACTGGGACGTATGACAGCACCCTGTACACCTCTGCGTGGGCCCCCCTCACCCCGTGTGGCTCCCTCGCCCTGGGCACCCTCTTCACCCACTGGGCAGCCTCCACCAGGGGCCCGGAGCTCTGTGGTCATCTTCCGCTTTGTGGAGAAGGCCAGTGTGAGGCCACTGAATGGGCTACCAGCTCCTGGAGGCTTGAGTCGGAGCTGGGACCTGGGTGGAGTTTCTCCTCCCAGACCCACCCTAGCCCTTGGGCCTGGCTCCAACCGGAAGTTGCGGCTGGAGGCATCCACATCAGATCCCCTCCCAGCTGGACGAAGCTCGGCCCTTCCTGGCAGCCGGGACGCTGTCCAGGGGCCGCCAGTTACATCCCAGGTTGGGGCAGATGGCCTCTACTCCTCTCTCCCCAATGGCCTGGGGGGGGCCCCTGAGCACCTGGCCACGCTCTTCCGAGGACCTGCTGACACTGGATTCCTGAACCAGGTATACAAGCTCCCTTGGACTCCCAATGAAGAGGCAAGACTTGGGTCCCTGTCTGGCTTGGGTGTGTCTGCTCCACTCTGAATCCTTTAATTTGTCCTAAATCTGTCTCTTTCGTGCCCTTTGTGCTGTCCCTGTGTCTCTGGACCTCCTTCTCTTACATGTTTTTATTTCTGTTTCTGTCCCATATTCTTGTGTCCTTTTATGTCTGGCTCTATCCCCGGGTGCCTGTGTCTCTCCCTCCCTGCTTGGCTCAGGGAGACACCTGGCCCTCCCCTTGGGAAGCCTCCTCTCGTGCCCAGAGAATCGCTCGAGCCAAATGGGAATTCTTCTATGGCTCCTTGGACCCCCCCAGCTCAGGTAAGGCTTGGAACTGAAGTGAGGTGAACAGGGCAGGGTCTTCCCCTTGGCAGCCAAAGCATGCTAGGGAGCCTTCCCTCAAACCTTCCCCAAATGGACCCTGGGCTCCTGAGGCAGCTAATGCCTCTCCAGGCCTCAGTCTGCCCATCTGTGTTATGGTGCAGCCTGGAGGACAGGGGCCAGGCTAGGCACCAGGGGTAGCAGG